CACTATCTCTTCCACAGGGAGGAGGCAATGAAAAGGCTGCTTTTGTCCCACCCTTTCTTAAAAGCTGACGAAAAAGCTTTGTTCTAAGACAGTCCGTGGTGGAAAAGACTAATTAAAGAGCCACTGCTAGCCCTGGACTCCCAGCAGCTCCCATCACCTGCAGGAGCCCCACTCACCCCCCTGGGTGTAACTGTTTTTTCCTCCACATCCTTTTGACTGGTGCAGAGAAATATCTGAACTCCAGCCACATCTTTGCCATGTCACCGTAAGGTGGAAAGATTGAGTTATCCTTAAAGGCTGTCTGAGACTTCAGCAGTGTGGGACCTCCCAAGTATAAAACCTGTGGAAAATGAGAAGGGGGATGAAGGGGAAGGCCTGTATTACCATGTCCATCAGAATGCTTTGAAGCTCAGATGAAAAAGGAGAACTGGACAAAACGCAGCTCTTTCTCATTCTCCCCCTTATGTGATCAGCCTCCAGCTGCTGCAGCCAGGGCAGCATCCTCACAGCCCCTGCCCGAGGTCAGCCAGGGATCCTTGGGATGGACTGGGGCCACATTTCCTTGGGGAGCGGCATCTACAGAGAGTTTGCTGGATGGTGGAAGGAGCTCATTTAAATGAGAAAAACGACTTCGACTACATTGCCAGCATTCTCCTTGCCTATTGTACTCCCTTTTCGGTTTCTGCTTTCCAGTGAGCAGTTTTATGTTTCCAAGGATCATAAATTCTCATTTTTCCACTGGGCAGGAGGTGCACTCCTGGTCTCCAGTGCTTCCTGCGTCGCTTTTGTGTCCGTGTTGCCCAGCTACTGCAGCACAGCCCCAGGCTATGCCCGGCCCATTCAGAGCGGGTGCCCCGGAGGGCACCGGGGTTCACGGCATTCCAACAGGCACAGGATTCCCAAGGGGCACACAGCGAGGGCTGCACTGACCGGGGCTGGCAGTGACCTCGGGAAGGTGGGATGTGATGCTGAAGGGGGGATCAGAGGCTGGACAGCAAGCAGCCTGTGGGAATGGACACTGCTGGTTTGTCAGCTCCAGGGCAGCACGGGCTGAGCCCCACTCTGAGAACTCTGGAGCTTTCCACAGCATCAGTCCCAAGGGCAGCACTCCAAGCATGGGTAGTTCAAACAGCAGCCGAGATAACACCCTGTCCTCACACCGTGTAGGTCAGCTGGCTTGAAATTAATTACGTTCCTGAGCTGGAAATACTTGGATTCATCATGGCTTTAAATCCTAAAATGGGACTCGTATAGTACCAGGGGAAGGGAAGGGAAGGGAAGGGAAGGGAAGGGAAGGGAAGGGAAGGGAAGGGAAGGGAAGGGAAGGGAAGGGAAGGGAAGGGAAGGGAAGGGAAGGGAAGGGAAGGGAAGGGAAGGGAAGGGAAGGAGCAGGGGCTGGGGGTTCTGCCCGGAGCCGGTCAGTCGGGGGGCAGAGCTGAGCTCATTCCCACCTCCTCATTGCCATGCTCCCTGTGTCCTGTGCTGGGGAAGGGGCTGGGCCAGGCTATTGTTGGGGGTTGTTTATGGACACATAGATCCTGCAGCCTGCCAGGGCTGGCCCGAGGGGAGGCCAGGGCAGGACAGCAGGCTGAGGGCTGGCTGGAGAATTTACAGCCACAGGAAGAAGTCGCTGGTTTCCAAGCCTGTGGCATCTTCCTACGGGCATGCAAATAAGGACATACCCAGCTGTGACTGGGGGCACTGACGTACTCTGACTTCAAAAACCTGCAGAGCCTCTGCTTTTGTTTCCCTTAATACAACTTAAAACACCATTTGAACCATGGCCAGGAGCATGTTCCGGCCTTGCTGCTCCTTGTTAATGAAAAAGATGCATTTTTTGGAAGCAGAGACTGCCTCCAAGACCTGCAAACTCTCTATTTTATGACAGTTTTCATTTGCATAATGAAGGCCCTGATACCTTCAGTAATTAATCACATTAAGAATTGCTTCCTTGAATAACTCTATTCATGCAGGTTGTTCCTAGTGCTGGAAACTGCACATGATTTCCAATGTGCATTAGCCCAAGCTTCATCAGCAGATGGAAGCTGGTAACTGCATGTGTAATTTATATCTGCTTGGGTGGAATTATCCAATGAAATATGCATCACACGGCACCATTAACATTTCTAGTCATACAGTCTTTAGCTCATGGGTAAGTTAATATTTCATGCCAGCAGTGTGTGGGACTGTATGAAAGGCAAGGACTTGAACACAGGGATTTAAGAGCAGGAGTGGAAAGTATTCCAGGTCAAACACAGCTGATATAGAATTAATGACGCTGCTAAAATAAATGAAATTAATTACCCTTTTTGACCTGCATTTTTTTATAAAATGTCCCACCTTGCCTCCATGGTTAAGAAAGCTGCCAGGCTGCTGTATCACCACTTGCAGGGGCAGCTCCAGATCCTTTAGCATCCAGAAAGCTTTTCCCCATAGGACAGCACAAACAATAGGAGAAAAATGATTGAATCGTGGAAGGCAGCAGAGAGAAATGCTGCTGTGTGGGTTTGGAATTGTCAGTAACCTTGACAAATCTGGGGGAGAAAAACCCATCAATTCAATTGGAAGAAGAAAATCAGTGACTAGACTGCTGTGACAGCAGTGACAGGTCAGGCTGGAGCCTGGAGCCAGGATGGAAGTTGGGTTATGCATGAACGTTCTACAGGAGAAAGTCAGCTGTCTCAGAGTGCCTTTTCCCATGTGCTTTCCTGTCCTTATATAAATCATAGTTCATTAAAATACTGATTCCTGCTTGCTAGGAAGTAATTAAATGACTGAAGCTGTGTTCCATCTGCCTTTTCTGGAGAGATGGAGAGAGAGTCCAAGCTGAGCTGGTGTGATGTGAGCCTGAGGCTCTGCCCTCCTCACAGTGCTCTCACCCAGCTGATGTTCCTGTGCTGGGGCATGGGACATCCTACAGCTTCTGCTTCAGGGTTTCACCCTTTAGAAAAGATTTGAGGAACCAACGAGTTTTAACTGTTTTCAGGCCAAGCTGGTTCTGGCCATGGCTGGGCTGTGTGTTCCAACAAGGATGCAGCAGTGGCCACGGGCTCCATGGAGAGAGAAGGACCAACAAACTCCTTCCTCACTGAGGCCACTGTGGCCACATCCAGCTTGCAGTGCTGCTCAGCCCTGCACATGTCCCAGAGCCAGGCTGGGGTGGTGCTGTGTGGGAGCTGGCTGGAGTTCCCTGGGTTTAGACTCTTGCCATCACTCCTGGCAGCACCCACAGATTCGCTGCTGCTGCTCCCAATTGTTCCTTTCTGTCCAAGAGAGAAAGAAAAAGCATCTCTGCAAAATCCAGGCTTGGACTTTGCTTAAAGCCTTTGAGTAAAGAGCCTTGTTTGAATGTAATTGCACCCCTGTTGCTACAATGGGAAAATACACTGTATTGCTCTTTCTTGGAAAGCTCAGCTAGTATTTTCCCAGCCATTTGTGTATAAAGAAAGATAAACAGCTCTTTAGCGGGCAGAACAGTCTATCCCGGGTTTATTGACATTCATGGAGCAGACAAGGACAAACAGTTTGGTGAGGGAGGGGAGGGGGAGCAGCTGGGCACCAGGGGTGGAGGGTGGGGAAGCCCTCTCAGGTGCTGAGCCTGGTGAGTGCATCTGCCTGGCCCCAGACCCACCGGCACTGCTGCATCCCCCTGGGCCCCCCGGCAGCCTGCAGGATGCACTCACCACCTCACCCTTCCTCTCACTCCTCCCCATAAATAAAAAACGTGTATAGCTAATTTAGCTCCAGCTTCACACGCAATAGCACTATAGATAGATTTTTAAAGAGCTTGTCTGAAAGTAATAATTCATGGGGAGATCAAAAGGCTGTGGTTTAATCCGGGGTCTGTCTGATACCATAAACCTTGCAAAGTGCTAAGAATTCAATGAGCAGCATCAAAAGCCTGATAAACATGAAAGCCACCCAATTTTCTGTCTGTGAAGCTGGCGTGGCTCACAATGGGTGCTGGGGAGTGGGGAAGATGTGTATCTCCTCTGCAGAGCTTGGGTGACAGAGCCACACACAGTCCTGCAACTTCAGCATCCCAAAAGAGGTGCCTGGACTCACATTAACATCTCACGTGCTCCCTGCACATCCCCAACTGTATAAAGAAATCAGAGTTCTAATTAGATGTCTAATTACATGGCCTAGGTAGATTTCAGGCTGTTTGGCATTTCCTTTTCCTCCACATCCACAAATCAGAGTCTGCATTGATTCGCCAAAGCAACGTGACAAAGTGGTGGATTTCAAACAGGGACTGCAAAAAATATAGAGTATCAAAATGTTTGGAAGCTGAAAATGGTGCTTAAAATGGGGACAGGAAGGATGAGTGCTGTAAACAAAGGTCTCAAGAGTAGAAGGGCTCTGCCATGCTTCTAACTGTCAGCTAAGCAACATTTAAAAGCCAGTGTTCAATTTTTAACACAAATGGAGGTGAGCTCAGGCTGCAGACACCTGCAGGGTTTTTCTCCAGAGATTCTGATCCCACAGAGGTTAATGTGATTATGCAAATAACTGAGGTATAATTGTGTTACTGCCGCCCATCTGGCCCTCCCTGCAGCTCCTGAGTGATTTTGTATTCCCTGTGCAGCACAGTGCTGACACACAAGGGCACCAGAGATGTCACTGCTTGGTGTTTGCTGCAGGTGCCACCTCCCCATCAGACCTCTGGAGCAAAGTCCTGCTGGACCAGACATGGCCAATGCATCGGGAATGCTCTTCCCAGATCCAAATTAACAGTCTGGATGTAGTCCAGAGGACTGAACTCCACTTGTCCTCTCCCAAGGGATGCTTCTGACAAAGCCAAGATCCTGCCTGGCATCCCAGCTACTGCACCAAGTCCTTCCCAAAACTGTTTTTCTCAGCAGAATTAAACAAATTCCCACCTCCCTCAGCAGTTGGGATTAAACCAAAACCTGACATTTTCATGCCAGACACTGACTATCACACACTGTCCCAGTACCCCCAGCACTCTCTTACACTTGGGTTTTTCTTCCCACCAGTACGAATTCAAGGCCAAGAATATTAAGAAGAAGAAGGTGAGCATCATCGTGTCCGTGGACGGGGTGAAGGTGATCCTGCGCAAGAAGCAGAAGGTGAGGCTGCTCCAGCCCAGGGATAGTCACACTCCGAACCAAAACTGGCCTTTTCTTCAAAAACACCCAGAATTTGTACATGAAAACACTCCAGTTTCCATCCAACTAATAACAAAACCTTGCTGGAAAGAGAGTGAGAATATTACATGTGGGAAGAGGATTTTTTTCTATCAGGAAAATTTATCTCTCAGGAGATACTGGTTCTTTTTTTTGCTAATACCAAAAAGCCTTTTCCAGGCTGCCTGGTCTGAGCACCCCTCAGCTCTTTGCCCAACTGTCCTTTCCATCCACTGCATCCAGGTCTCCTAAGCCTCAGCTCCAAACCATCTTCCCCAAAATGTGTAACTCTTCTGCATATTTGATGTTATAAATTAATCTTAGGAACCATTTTCAGCCCTGAAGGCTGTGATCAGATATGATAAACGATGAAGAAAAATCTATTTTTATCTGAAATACTGTTGAAACAGCCGTGGCTCATCTAGTCACACTACAGCATGAATTGTGGCTTGGGACAAAAGCAGTGTTCCCCAAGTTTCCTGCCCTTCAGTTTGGTGGAGTTTCACCTGATTCACTGTAATTTTGTCTCTGCTTACAGAGAAAGGAGTGGGCCTGGGACGAGAGTAAGATGGTGGTGATGCACGATCCTGTGTACAGGTACATGGCAGGGGATTCAACCAGGGAGGGCCAGTCAGCCCTGGGGGATCCATGCCCTTCCTCCCACCTGCAGAGACCCCTCCACCAAGGCTTTCCAAAGGACCATCTAATATTAACGAGGGTACAAAGTTACTGCTGCTGGAGAATCCTTTTCATACATTTTTGAGAGCCAGATGGACTGAATTCGCTTTGAAGCTGCCTCTGCTTTGAAGAGGGTTAGACTGAGTGACCCTGGAGTGCTTCAGCCTGGATTACTCTGATTCTGCCTCTGAAGACAGGCTTCCCATGGCTCTCCCTATGCTTCTAAAGCAGGGCCTTACTCTAAGGTGTAAGTGCTCACTGGGATTAACCCTTACAGACGTGGCAAGAAGGCACTGACTTTCCGTAGCACCTTCCATGGGGTATTGAGGTATTCCAGAGAGCACAAGCCCCACCCAGAGGTTTACACCGAGCATAAACCTGGTGCCTCAGGAGCCCCTGGGGATGGGAAGTGACCCCAGGGATGGTGCATGGCCTGAGGATGGGTTAAGAGCACAGGGTACTCCAGGCTGTTAGATCTGCAAAGTGAATTATTGTACCACGAACACTGAGCCCACAGCCCTGAGAACTGGGATCCTCAACATTGGTTTTTGGGATCAGAGCCTTTAGTGAGGAGAGGAGGAGCAGAGGATGTGCTGATGCATTATCTGTGCCTGCTTCTCACCTCTTGCTTTCTTTGAAGATTACTACAAGATGTGGTACATTTGCAATAACTGCTCTAAGTTCAACACCCAAAAAATACCAGTGACAGAAAGAGCAGAAGAAAGAAAACATTTCAAGTATCCCTTTGGTATCTTCTCTATGCAGAGCTGAACTCACTTGTCACATTTTCACCTAATTAAATCAAACATACATAAAAATCTTCAAAATGGTTTTGCAGTACAAGGAGAAGAGTCGGCCTGAGCAGCAGAGAGAGGAATCCTCTGAGTGCACCCAGCATCCCTGGGAGAGGCTTTTGTGCTGTGCCACCTGCCCACTGCCAAGGAGGGACCCTGAGGGTCCCCAGGGACAGGGCAGTCAGCACCATGCAGGCAGTTCTGCCTCAATGCAGCCTGGGCAGGGGTTAATTGCTGGGGTTAAAAATAGACACTTGCTTTCCAAGACTATAGATTTTTTTCGCTTTCCCACAGGATCTTTAAAAAGCTTTTGCCTACTTCAGAAACCAGAAGGTTTTCTATTAAGCCTGAAACGCTCTCTAAATCCATCCCCCCGCCTTGAAAATTGCAGGAGGGGCCATGCACCAGCATTGCCTCATTCCTCCAATCCTGGGGGCTGCAAACCAGCCCATCCTGGGGACACACAGCAGCAGAGGTGGTCTGGAGGGCAGAGATTCCTCATGGTGTTTAATTCCCTTTGTCTCTCTCCCACCTAGAATTTTCTACGTCTCTCACGACTCGCAAGACCTGAAAATATTCAGTTACATTGCAAGGGACGGCGCAAACAACTCCTTCAGGTGCAACGTCTTCAAATCCAAGAAAAAGGTAGGATTATCCTGGGGATGCACCCACACGACTGTGGGGTCAGGGGGTGCAGATCCCTGGGGAATGACCGAGGCAGCGCCAGTGCTGGGTGTCCCCAAAAACAACGTGCCTGGTGCCCAGCCCGGGCAGTGGCACATTCCACACAGGGAAAGGAGCCCCCAGACCCAGAGTGAGGAACCGGGGGGCACTGCTGGAGCAGCCAGCACAGGAGGAGACGGCCAGGGCAGGGTGGGAGGTAGGGAGGGAAGGCTGGGGCAGCGGTGGCTGCAGGGCTGAGCCCGGGGCTCTCTCCGCAGAGCCAGGCCATGCGCGTGGTGCGCACCGTGGGACAGGCGTTCGAGGTGTGCCACAAGCTGAGCCTGCAGCACGCCCTGCAGAACGCCGACGGGCAGGCCGACGGTGCCAGCGACAAATCGGCCGAGGAGCAGCCGCTGGAAGGTGACTCCCGGCTCCTGAGGGGTGGGGGAAGCCCCTCCCTAAGGCAGCGGTGCGGGGATGCTTTGGGGTGGGGACACGAAAGGTGGCGCCTCCTTCATGGGAGAGAGGTTTGGGCCCCTTTGGATGGGGAGCATGGGGAATCTGCCCTGCCTGCCCACTCCTGCTGAGCGCTGGGGAGGGGCAGGCTGAGTCCCCTCATATCTGCAGCCCCTCAGCCATCCCATTCCCTCCCTCCTGCCCCTTCACAGCATGCTGAGACTTGGAGCAAGTCCTGGCCCTTGTCCCTGAGCTTCCCCCAGCTCCCAGCCCTGCACGGGGCCCCGGCTCTTCCTTCTATCCTGCACAGGGAAGGGAGGCTCAGACTCATGTGTCCATCTTGTTTGAAGTTCACCAGATAAAGGGCTCCAAGATCACGGATGTGGACGAGGTTGGCATTGATACTGGTGGCATCTGTGTGTCCGAGAGGGGACCCAGAGAGCTGCCAGGTGCCAGGGGGGACTTCAGCATGCTGAAATCTGGGCAAACCTCAAAGGAAAAGAACGGCCAGGTAATGGAGGGTCGGATGGAGGACGCTTCATGTGCTCTGCTGCTGCTGAGGGCCCTCTGCTCAGGGTCACTGTATCATGGCTTGATTTGGAGGTGCTTTCATGGAGACCCCATTGCAGCCCTCCCTGCTGGCTCCCTGCTCAGGACAGGCTGTTCAGCTCCCAGTTCACCTGCAGCAAGGCTGTACAGGTCCAGTGCTGGGGTGGGGGTTGAGGGGAGAGGCAGGGGTGGGGGCTGCAGCGCATGGCTGAGCAGGCTTCACACACCAACCAGGGTGGATTTCTGTGCCCTCAGCGCTGCCCTGCAGCAGTTGCTTGTTTGACTGCCCTGGCAGTGATCCCTGGCTCCCCTGTGCTCCAGGCCCAGGGAACAACGTCCCCAGGAGGCCCAGCCCTGGCAGTGCAGGCACCCAAGCACGTTCAGCTCAAGCAGCAGCTCCACCTTAATGAATGGGTGCTCCACAGAGCTCTGGGAGCACTTCCCAGAGGCCTGAATGGCATTGCTTCAGCTCACACAACAGTAACGCTCACAGGGCCTGGCTGGAAACAGCTGCAGTGACATGCACTCCATGGGATTCGTTTGTGTGCCTGGAAAGGCCTTTCCTGTGCATTCCTTCTGGCACTGCCCAAGCAGGGAAGGGCAGGAGCAGGAAGGGCAGTGGCCACAGACACTGGCAAATGCTCCAGGCACTAGGACACCGCCCAGCCTGGGCAGCCACAGCACGGAAAGGTGGTGGAGTGTTTGAGTCACTCCCTGCTGTCTCCTCCTGGGGAGACCTGGGGACCTGCCCTCCCCAGACACAGCCAAGGCAGCTCTACCAGGTCTCTGGGAAAAACCTCTCAGAAACACTGTCCTGGGGATCCCAGAGATGTGCAGAGCTGACAACAGCCCAAGGCTGCCCCTCAACACCCCCTTGGTGTGCAGAGGCTCCTCTGCTGCGCTGGGGTCAGTGGCATGGGGAACCAAAATCCAGATCCCAGCCTGAGCCGGTCAATCCGCTCACCTGCCCATTTCTTTGTGCCCAGGATGCTGAAAACTGCTCCCTCCACCTGGCCAGCTCCCAGCAGCTGCTCAGCCCGAGCAGCCCCTGCTCCTCGGCCTCCATCACCCCGCTGGCCTCCCAGCACTGCCTCCAGCTGCTCCAGCAGCAGCTCCTCCAGCAGCAGCAGCAGACGCAGGTGGCTGTGGCCCAGGTACACGTCCTGCCCTCCCCTCAGGGGGCACCAGCCCTTCTCCTCCCCCTGCCCCAGCGTCCAGCCGGGCTAGGCCGACAGCGGGGCAGGTGGGAGTGGGCCGGGCCCCTCGCAGCAGTGCTGGCAGCATTCCCACTTGCACAGCTCTCAGCAGAGTTTGCAGCGTCGCTTGCAGCCTGGCTCGCAGCATTGCTTTTAGCGCCACGTGCAGCATCGCTTGCGGCACAGCTGAGCTCCCCCAGACAAGGAGCTGGCTGTGCACACAGCCCCAGGCTGCTCTAGGAGTGTTGCACGGTCCGGTAGAGCCCCCCAGCTCCCGTTTCACCCCATCTCATCCCGTTTTTGGAAACCATCCCACCCCCAATGCAGCATCAGAGCGGGGAGCCCGGTGCCTCCCGGCCGGGCACCTGCCCTACGCGTTTCTCGTTACCGGAGGGGCAGCAGGACACCCCGCACACCCCCGGGTGCCGCCGCATCCCCGCCCGCGGCTGGACCGGCTCGGGGGCGCCGGTGGGGGGTGGCGCGGCGGGGCCGGCAGGGGGCGCTGTGGCGCCGCCGGTACCGGGCTCTCCCGGGATGCTCCTCCCGCCCCGAGTCATCCCGTCCGCATCCCCCCGGCCCGTCTCGCAGGTGCAGCTGCTGAAGGACCAACTGGCGGCCGAGACAGCGGCACGGATCGAGGCGCAGGCCCGGGTGCGGCAGCTCCTGCTGACCAACCGCGACCTGCTGCAGCACGTCTCGCTGCTGGTGCGGCAGCTGACGGTGCTAGAGGCCCGGGAGGAGCACCGGGATGAGCATCGGCAGCCGGGTGAGCACAGTGACGCACTCACTGGGGTTGTTTGGGTGCTGGTGTGCCCCCAGCTCCATCCCTCTGGACAACCACTGCATTCCTTGAAATGACAGGAAGCAACCAGAGTGCTCCTAGTACCATCCCAGCAGGCTCTGGGGGTCTGGGGCATTTCTGCACCCTTCAAATTGCAGGGGAGCAGCTGGTTTGAAGAGCCCCAGTTTTTCACATGCCCCTTGTCCATCTCTCACAGTTGACCGCTCCTTGCAAAACCTGTCCCTGGCCCAGTCCCTCTCCCTGAACCTGAAGAACCACTACAGCCTGGACGTGCACCTGCCGTCCACCTCCACCCCCGCCAGCATCCTGGGCAGCCCCGTGGCCCCCGGCTCGCTGCCTTCCCTGGGCCCCAGGGACTCCTACCTCAACCTTGTCAGCCTGGACAGGGGCAGCCACCGCTACGGCAGCAAGGAGGGGGATGAGTGCCTGGCCGTGCTGGAGGGGCAGGATGGGCTCAGCCGGCGCGTGGAGGGCTCCGAGGTCAGCGACTTCGCTCTGCTCAACGGGAGCAGCCGGCAGAAGGCAGACGACACAGACAGAGGGGACGAGGACAGGTAGAGTGTGCCACCTGTCTCCTGCTAGCTGCAGCAGGAACACCCCGAGTGCTGCAGGTAAGTACTGGCCCATCACCTCCTCTCTCTGCTTTCCCTCCGCAGGCGGCAGCCGCCCATTCCCAAGCTCAACCCACCACCGCCCATCCTGCGCAAAAGGTCAAGCAAGACCTCCCCGAGCCTGGAAGTGGAGGTGAAGCCCGAGAGCACTGCCCACCTGAGCCTACCCAGTGCCAGCATCTCCAGCCTCACCAGCATCACTGCCAGCTCCCTCACCCTCTTGGACCCTGAGGCGAGGACTCCTGCACGGAGTGCTGCCTCCAGCACGGAGCCTGGCCCTGCCGGGACCTGCCAGCGTGCTCTGGGCAAGGACAGGACTGGAGAGAGCGGGCCAATGTCACCCTTGGCCAGCATCCATGACCCAACAGCCAGTGAGACCCTGGCCAAGGAGTTGGTGGCCCTGGGCAGCCCCACGGACAGCTCACTGCCCTTCTCCCCTGCAGATGACACCTGCTTACACATCAGCTTCTCTGAAGATGAGTTGGACACTGCCGTGGGGCCCAGCAGAGTCCCCTCTTAGTGGGGCCACAGGCGGTAGCTGGTGGCCGGCAGCCCCAGCAGCTCCGTCCACAACTCTGCGCTGGGACTGGGCTATGAGACAGGTCCCTTTCCTGTCGCTGTCCCACGTAACAGCTTCCCCTGCCACCTACAGGGCCACCCCACAGGACGGGACTGGCCAGCCCTGCCTCAGACTGCACCAGCTCACACTGCTGTCATACTGCCATCCTGTCCCTGCTCACACAGCCAGGGATGCTCACAGCAGACAATTCCCAGGGAGCTGAAGGGTGGAAGCCCTGGGCAGGGCACAGTGCAGTGCTGTGGGACAAGAGGCTGTTCTGGTTCATCAGTTGCCACCCGTGGCAGCCTGAGCAGGGCCATGCAGCACAGCCATGGTGTCACTCCCCTGCCCAGCTCCCCAGGGTGTGTCCCAGACTGCCACAACACTAGGTCTCTCCAGGGCTACCAGCGTCCACCAGCCCTGCTTTGGGGACAGCAGCCCCACCACTGTGTCCCCATGCAGTGAAGCCACCACTGCCTCCATAGGTGCCTTTTCCCACTCCCCAGCACCCACTGCTCACACAGGTTGGGCCACCCCTCTGAGGCCACTGATGGGTGCAGGGTTGGCTCTGGGAGCCTGCAGGAAGGGTGCACCCTATGTCTTGGGGTCAGGGCAGAGAGCCCTCCCGTGCCCCCCCGAGTTGCTGGTGGCTGCAGGCAGGACACTGCTCCTTGTGCTGATTTTAGGGTATTATGTTTGGTTTGGTTTTGGTTTCAGAAATACGAGTGTCCTGGGAGGAGTTAAGGAAGAAGCTGACAGTGGAGTGAAGGGCAGGTTTTGTGGAGGGCCCGAGGTGATGCTCATCCACCTTGGTTGTTTGTCAGAGGGTGTTGGGAAAGTGTCAGAGAGTCAAGTTGGGAAGTGTCAAGCAGAAGTGGAGACTTGGAGCAGCCTTGCTGCCTGTCCCTGGCATGGTGCTGCTCCTACGGGGAGAGGGGGGTGACAAGACATGCACCCAGAGCTGGCCATGGCAGTGACAGAGCTGACAGGGAGCTGGGGACCGGGCTGGGGGTTGTAAAGCTCGGCTGGGCTGTCCCGTAGTGTCGTAGTGACAGCCCAGCCCCTCCATAGGATGCTGCGGTTTGGTAATGGACTTTTAAAGAAAAAAATAAAGGTGTCAGATTTGCAGAGCCAGTGCTGTGTCTCTGCCCCGTGGGGCCTGTGCACAGGGGGTCCTGAGCTTGTGGGGTAGACTGGGAACTCCCAGGTATTCCTAAAGAATGCTTTGTGAACAGCCCCTGACAGGATGGGCACCAGCAGGCAGGGCCCTGCTTCCCACACGCTCCTTTTGCTCTTTCCTGGTCCCATTTCTACTCCTGAAATAAGTCCTGGCTCCAGCACACAGGATGGAGGGCGGGAGAATGCAGATAGCAAAGCCAGATGGGATGGGACCAGTGGAATGCCAGAGCACTGGGATCCCAAGGGCTGCCCGCAGCCAGGATGGGTGAGAGACGCCTGCCCTCTGCAGACTCCTGACCCTTGCAAGATGAGGAAGAAAATCCAGGGGCAATTCAACACAGAGACTCCAGGATGGACAAGGACCCTGTGAGATTATCCCCCCCATGCAGGACAGGAGGTCAAATGGAGGGACCCAGCACCCAGAACCTCTGTGGGGTCTCAGGACCACTCTGCATCCCTCCATGGAGTGGGTGCAGTCTCCAGCAGGGCAGAGTGGGGAGCAGGGAGCCCCTTCCCCAGGCCCACTGCAGACATCTGCCGGGGGGCTGCCTGCGTGGGGAGGGGGCACTTCCAGCCCAGAGCCTTATTATGCTTCCTTCATGGGAAGAAACTTTTTCCTTTGCTGTCTGCTAAGCTGCTAGCAATCATCAGGCAGGCAGGTGGTAAAGATTCATATCCATCAAACAATGCCATTTAGTTTGTAACCTGTGACTAAATCTGGTGTTAGCTTTAATTTCAGAGTCTGCTTTAGGGCTCGCTTGTTAATCTCTATGCAAAGCAGATGAAATGAATATGCAGCATTTTGGATGTAATTGTACGGCTTCAATTCAGCACTATAATTTTCCAAACAGGATCTTGCAATCAAGCTTCTATTCATTAGTGTATAAACAATTTAGTTTCTCAGCTCTCCAGTATGCCAATCATCTCAATGGAGTGAGCATCTCCAACAGAAAGAGGAGGAAAGTTTCCTTTGTGTAACAGAGGTAAAAGTTGCTCCATACTTCAGACAATTCCCGCCCAGCAGATCCACACCATTCCAACAGAAGTGGACGGTTCCTTGTGCCCCCACAACACTGACCAGCTGCAAACACCACTCGGGGGGGGTGATGCTCCAGTGATCTCAGCTCATGTAGCCCCAGGCCCTTCAGGAATTCTGCCTGTGAGACCTCAGCAGAAGAGCCTAGATCCCATAGGACCAGGCTGCCTGGAAAGGTGTAAACATGCAGCACTTCAGCACACTCCAGTGATGCTCAGGGCTCCCTGAGGGCCCACGACTCTGGGGAGGGGGTGGCCACCCCAACCCAAGCCCCTTCCACGTCCCTATCCCCCTGACACCACACACCCCACACTAGCTCAGCCCTCCTGGCCAGCGCCACACGACAGAGCCCTGGGGCCATCCCACACCTGGTGCCAGTAGCAGCTCCCTCATGGAGGACAAGGCCGGGGTGACACGGGAGTGGGTGGGAGACAGGTGTTGATCTCCGGGGCCCAGCACCCTCACGGCTGGTGCTTTCCTCGGCGGGGACCCGAGGGTGCCGCGCACACGCGAGCGCCTCCGGCACCCGCCCGCATCCCCATCCCCATCCCTGCGCACCCATCGCCCTCCTGGGAGGTGAGGAGGGACCAGCCCAGAGCCGCGACAAAGGGAAGCGCCGTCGGCGGAGCCGCTCAGCGCGGTCTCCGTTTCCAAATGAATATCGACAGCGCTAATTACAGGCCGCCATGCAGACAGCTTATTAGCTTGTCACAAAAAGACGGTATTGAACTCGGAGCCCGCGGTATTCACGGAGCGCAGCAAGACGCTCCCCAGACAGCACAGCGAACCAGGCAGGCGAACAACCTCCAGCAAAACTAATTACTTCCTGATTGTCTACGGCCACCCACTGGGTATAATAGTATAGACTAAATTTGGCATATACATAACTAAGCACTCGGCACCAATTTGGTGTACAATAATCATCCTCTGTGTTGCATAATTAAAATCTGATCACTTGGAATAATTATTTCATATTCCCAGTATCGGGTGAAGATTGCATAATGTGGCAGAAGTGTGAGCCTGGCAGTGGAACGATCCACTTCCACAGGCGTGAGCCCCCCGGGAAGAACATCCCGGCTCCCGGCACGGTGAGAGACCCGCTCGGCACCGGCTGCCCCCGCCACGGCCATGACCCTGCGGGAAGGGGCTGTGCAGGCTGCTGGTCAGCACCGGCTGCGGAGGAGCTGCGATCACCTTATCCCTGCTCTCCACGGAGCACGGCCCCGGTGGGGCAGGACTGTACCCGCCAGGACACGCTGTCCTGCTGTCCCCACGCAAGCAATCCCCGCATTGACCTTTCCAGCCTGGCTGCTGCCCCGCTGCCCGCCCGGCCGGGATGCTCATCGCCCGACTCCATTGTGCTCGGGCATCTGCTAAAGGCATTTGGAAAGACACGGCAATAAAAAATAAAAATCAAGTGGAACGTGTGTGTCTAATCCATTAACTTCCTCCGGCGGCTCCCCGGGGACCCGGCGAGGAGCAGAAAGAATACGTGGATATTGCACGCGCCCTGGCACCTTGTCCCCGGGCCAGCCCCGCCGCTGGCCGCTGCCACGGGCTCATAAATCACTGCGGGCGACAGCGTTTCACAGCTCGCTTCCCAGCCAGGATATGGCCATTCCTGCTGATTACACGGCCGGCGCGCGGGGGAAGCTGCATCTCCCACTTCCAGGAAGGGAGGATCCGCAAGGAAAAAGCATTGATAAAAAGAAGAACGAAATCAGCTTTGTTCACGTTGCGAATCTCCCATTGTTCCTGCTGCGGCCGTCAGCCCTCGCTGGAGAAAGTATTTCCTCAGCGATAAATCTCCTGGGCTCCTTGCAGCCCTCGCCTTGGCACCAGACTCTCCTCAGCTTGTTTTGAAAGAAAAAAAAAAAACACTTTTGGCTACAGGCCCCCTGTGGGGTGCTCTGGGCAATTCACAGTGTGAGTTGGGGGGTGAGGGACAGTCCTGGGGCAGGTGACAGTGGCCTGGTGCCCATCTCAGGGGTCTCTGGCCCGTGTCCCCAGTCAGGGCCACACCAGGGGACAGCACTG